TGTGAAGAGTTGTATGAGCCCCTAATAAAATGATTACAAGGAAAATAGTTAGCTTAAAATAAAAGCTACATATTTGTGTTCATGGTGGCATGTATTAAGAAGAGAGCATATGGGGAATGGGTAGAAAGGCAACTTCACTGTATACTATTTTGCTTGTAAAAAATAAATGTTTTTATATGAAAACAAACAAACAAAAGGGTAAGAAGGACACAAAGGCAGGGAAGACACAGCAAAGGGATGCTAAGGATGATCAGCAGTCACCAGAAACTAGCAGAAAGGCCATAGTGAGACTCACATTTGGATTTTAGCATCCAGAACCGTGAGAAAACAAATTTCTGTTCTTTAAAGCCACCCACGTGTGGCATTCCTGTTGCAGCCGCTCTCGGTAACTAAGACAGTCCATGTGAATTCAGACCAAGTCCCGGAGCTGCTGGACCAGGAGGAGCTCATCAATGTCACCAAGAGTGAAGCAACAGCTGTGACGGATCTTGAGACATGAATAGGATGTTGCAAGTTGCTAAAGAACGCACGGGTGCATGTGAGAGACAGGGATTTGGAGAGGGTGTTGACGGAGGGAACGTTCAGGCAGAGAAGCAGCACTCACCAAAGTGAAAGGCCAGAGAGCCAGGCTCAGAGCAGGAAAATATTCCTGCATCAGCAAAGGTCAACTGATGACGAACAAGGGCGGGAAGTGAGACCCAAGAGAGTGGCTGTGCCCCAGGAAGTGACATGCTAAGGAAGTCAGACATAGCGTTCATTATTCAACAGTCGATTGTGACAGTAATTTGAGACTTGTTATCATTCCAATTTTAAAGTTAAAATCACTTGGTGATTATGTCACTTCCCCAATTATTTACCTCTGGAAGATTACTTAATTCCCCAGGCATCAATTTCTTCATCCTTGAAAAGGGAGTTAATAATACTGCTTCCATCCTAGGGTTCTTTACGCATGGAATGAAGTATGTGTACGTGTAATACAGTGTGTGGCGTAAAGTAAGAACTCAATAAGCATCAGCCACTGTTACTTTGTACTTTTGACTTTATTCAGCAGTCACATACTCAGTCTCCAGTGGGGTTATCCCTGCGCTAGTTTCCAGGGATACAAAGGTCAATAACAGATGATTTCTGCCTGTCAACACATTCGATATTGCCAGCAGTACACTCTGTGACTTAGTAGAAGTACTGCAGATCACATTTTGTTGAATCTGCTAGAGCTAATTGGGCAACAGTGCCTTCAAATCTCCCTGGACAACATAGCTCACTATTGTAAGAGCTAACATTTCCCCCTATGCCCCCTGAATTCTCTTTCCTTTGACCCATTTGACAACAATACAAAGTCAATGAGTTTATTTCAGTGGCCTCCTCCCATTCAAGGAGCTTGATGGTGTACGGGATATGAGTTGGGCAGCTAATCACAAGGTCATCAGTTCAAAATCACCATCTGCTCTGTGGAAGAAAGAGGGGATTTCTACTTCTGTTACAGGTAGTCTGTTCTGCCCTGTTCGACTGGGTCGCTACGGGTGGGAAGGGACTTCACTACAGTGAGCTGAGTGTCGCCCACACAGGTCTGCCCAACCCTCAGGAATGGCACTTAATAACGACTTCATGGGTCTCTCTTTGGCTTCTTCATTAGATTTCTGTGTGAAGTAGCATGTATTATTAATGAGTGCATTTTATAGGACCTCATAAAGCCTTGCTTCCATATGCTGGGAGAAATGTTCATGATTAGAGTGTTTAGTGTTGTCCCAAACCAGGGAACGTCACGTATACGTAGAGTGGGTCATAAAGCTAATTCTTCCTGGGTTGTAACAATAATAGTATAGACACAAAGGCACACACAGCGAGAAGACAGACTTCAGGTGAGGACTTGTCTGCAAGGGAACATCCGTTATTCATCGCTTCTTGACCAGAACCACAGGTTAGGCCCCAACCATAGGCCTCCCAACTTTAGGATGACGAAGAGGACCACATCACTCTGTCCATGATGATACTGCACATTGCCTGAAAGGGCTTGAACTTCGGCATTGCCACTTCAACCTTAACATCGTTAGAATAGATGCGCCGCACCTGAGCATGGTCAGACGCGTGGCCATCATCGCCTCGGAGGGAAACATAGAAAACATCTACCTATGTAAATGGGCAGGAATGAAAACACTTGCATTCTGAGCATTCTGTTTTCCAATCTTATAGGAAATGCAAACCATTCTGATCAGAAGGCATCCTGGAGCAGCAACCAACCATTCCTAGGAGAGAGGGCAGACCCTTCAACCAGTGAAACCATCCACGGAGAAGGAAAGCCAGGGACTCTGTATTCAAATGTGAGTGAAGACATGAAATTGATGCCCGCATGCTAAGTGTTTATACTGTCCCTATAGAAGTTTATGAAACGTGGATATTTAAAAACACATTTTGGATATAGCTGGGAGATTTTTAGAATTCTTATTGTGTTGACATATAAATTAAGAAAACTGGCAATGATTATGTGAACAGCAAGTCATAAATGCTATCCTATAAACTGTTACAGTCTTGGAAACTCACAGGGGGGTCACTGTAAGCCAGCACTGACTCCATGGCGATGAAGGGAGGAGGTCGTATAGCTTACAATATGACTTTCAATGCATTCAGATAAGGAAGATTCTGGTGGAAAATAAAACAAATTTTGCATTTATCTTTTAGAGTACTTCCTGGGAAACACTCTGTTGAGAGGCGTAATTCCTACTTACTCCACCCCCACCCCCCCATTCATTCTGGAAGATATTAGTGCAGCACTGGAGGATCACCCTGGGTCCAGCCAGGAAGAGAGAAAGCGCTCTACTTATGAAGGGCCTTCCAGAGGTCCTGGACAATTCCATTATCCTTTCATTCAATTTTTCTACCAACTGGCATTTAAAGCCGATAGAATTTAATTTAGAGAAATGGCTTCCAAGATATTGGGGGAAAATGAGCAGCTATACTGGGGACATTGTATCAACATGGGGGTTGTTAGTAGCAGCATGAGCCAGAGGCACTGCAACAAGAGGTGGAGCGACTGGAGCCCAGGGTTCATGGTGGCCGGGGGAAGCTAAAGGCACTGCTGAGTGGAGTAAGAACAAGGGCAGCAGGGGAAGCCCCGTGGAGCTATCAGAGCAGGGACAGGGTGAGGAACGGATCTAAAGGTAGAAACAGGCATGGAACTGGCAAAATTGGGAAACAGAGGGTTAAGAAAATCAGGTTTCCGGTTTTGTTTTCTCCTCTAGAGTAACTGTTACACCCAGAAAATTGATTTACTGATATTTTTGAAGAGCACAAAGCTCAGCTCTTGAGAACTGCATCCAGTGAACATCTTATGAAAGGATGAAATGACCCTTTTTCTCTACGTCCACTTTCAATAAACCAAATTCACACAGCCTTAGGATGATGAGAAACCTGGATGCCTTTCTTCTGGATTGAAACAAAAAGTATCAAGGAAGCCTTGTGGGTTAGACTTAGACAGTGGCTAATGCTCCATCAGTTGGATGGCTTTATTCAGACTGTGACCCGAGGTATGGTCTGATGTTCTGGAAATCACTTGTCTTTAAAGTAGGTAATAAAGCCACACTGAAAACTGAACTCCCAAGGAGACAGAAAGTCACACACTTCCTCCAGATGACCACCACTCAATTCCTCCATCCTTCTTCCTTCTGCTGAGAAATGATAACGGCATATTTCCTGACGACTAGGAATGTGTGTTTTGTAACATGGAACTGACTGCCATCGAGTTGATTCTGACGCTAGTGGCCCGAGAGGGCTGAACAGACCACGTTTGTGGGTTTCCGAGACTCCAAATTGTGAAGGGAGATGAAAGCTTCATCTTTCTCATGAGGATCAGCTGGTGGTTTTGATCTGCCAACCTTCTGGTTAGCAGTTCAACTCAGAAAGCACCATGCCACTGGGGCACCTATAGCCTGGAGGGATAATTAAATAGGATGATAGAAAATATCTTTGCTTACGGACTTTGTGACCAATCAAAACAGCACTGAATGTGTATGAGTGTGTATATTTGCTTCACAGTACATAGCTGGATAAAAAGCTAGTCCATATAACCTTCATCATGTTGTATTTTTAATTTAAGCAAATAGTAAAAATTCCCAGCAGGTAACTTCTGGAATATTTTCTTACCTCACATGTAGCTTTATTAGGAGTTAAACTACCATTATTATGGTAACATGTTCCTTTATTTGTGTTATTAAAACATGGCTTAATCTCATTATATTTTCTTACTCCAGTATGATATATGTTCATATATTTAAAAAATAGACGGCCTTTGGAATAGAATCAAGCATGACGGCATTTGCTTAATAGAAACGGCAGGGATGTCAAGGCCATTTCTGTATTGCAAGCTCCCTGCTTCAGCTAGTTTCAGATAATAAAAATAACAAACGAAAAAAGAGCGACAGCCTGTCACTCTCTGGCCCCTCACTCAAAGTAGAAACTGGAAAGCATTGATAACATTTAATATCATACTATGACTTTTTCTTCATACAAAGAGTGAAGCACTTACAGGGGAAAGAGTTTGATGGTTACTTAATTTATTTTTTTGTCAAACACACTCACCTAAAATTCAGTGAAGGAACAGCGTGGACTTTCCCAAACCATCTATTTTCTTTTCTTTGAAATGGCAGCTGACTAGGGCATTGAAGGGTTTCCCAAGCACTTCATCCAGGGACTGGTAGTCCTATTTATCTGCAATGAGAAAACACTTCCATTTAGCTGAGCAATTTGTGCTCACGGGCTCATTTCAGAAACAGGAAGTCACAATGGGCAGATCTAGAACATAAGTTATGTTACAAATACTCCAAGAGATAGGGGATAGCTTTTAGTACTTGATCCCTGGTCTTCATTGACTAGTGAGACATATTGCGGATAAATATTTCAGAGATGAGGGTAGCGTGGCCTGGAGGGGCACCAGGATGAAGATGAAGCAGCTGCTTAGGAACAGATGACATTCTGAGACACTGGGCTCCTGACATTCTGTGCTCTAGTTGATTAACCTAGAAACAGGATAACAGTGAATCCTCTCTATTTCCCAAGTAAGTGGATTTCTGGGCTATTATCCCACCACAATGCCCATGAAAGCCAAGGAAATTAGAGTTGAGTTCAGAGTCTTTAGACCAGCTTTTCTTTATATTTTAATAAATCATTTTATCGGGGGCTTTTACAGCTTTATAACAATCCATACATCAATTGTCTCAAGCATATTTGTACATATGCTCCCATCGTCATTTCCAAAACATTTTCTTTCCAGTTGAGCCCTTGGTTATCAGCTCCTTTTTTCTCCCTCTCCCCCACTCTCCCACCATCATGAACCCTTGATAATTTACAAATTATATTTCTTTTCATATCTTGAACCTTCCGATGTCTCCCTTCACCTATGTTTCTGTTGTTTGTCCCCCTGGGGGTGGGAGTTGTACGTTGATCATTGCGATCCGTTTCCCCTTTCTCCCCCACACCTTTCCCCTACACTCTTGGTATTGCTACTCTCATTATTGTAGTCTAGTGCTCCTTCTAATGCAGTGGTTCTCAACCTTCCTAATGCCACGACCCTTTAATACAGTTCCTCATGTTGTGGTGACCCCCCAACCATAAAATTATTTCTGTTGCTACTTCATAACTGTAATTTTGCTACTGTTATGAATCATAATGTAAATATCTGATATGCAGGATGTATCTTCGTTTTACAAATTGAACATCATAAAAGCATAGTGATTCATCGTATGAATTACATATTGTGAAATATTTATTTCTAATGACAAATAAACAAAATTTTGTCTTGAAGCATGGTGTAGCACGGGTAACAGTCTTCACGCTGGGTATTTCTAAGTGGGCGCCTTGAGACAGATAGAGGGGCAGTGTCTCGGTTCCTAAGACCATTGGAATATGTGTTTTCTGATGGCCTTAGGCGACCCCTGTGAAAGGGTCATTTGACCCCCAAAGGGGTCATGACTCACAGGTTGAGAACCATTGCTCTAATGTTCCCAGTGTGAGCATGTATTGACATAGGGCTGTTGACCTCGAATGCAAGTATTATGAGTGAACACACACTGAAAAGCTTACAGGCAGATTGATCTGGTGGGATGAAGTCCCTTAATACCAGTGCTATTGTCCTGGTGACCTCTCACGTCCTTTCCCTGGGGCTGCTCTTCCACGAGGCAAGCCGAAGGAAGGACGCTTGGCATAGTGGCTTGACCTTGGTCCCCTGCAGACTACAGTCCCTACATGCACACTTGCAAAACAAAACCCTCCCGTGAAAATTGGGTGAAAATACAAAATAGTGCTGTTCCTGTTTAATTCGTAGATTTGAGGTCAGCTAACTTAATACTAGGCCAGCTAACATGGGCTTAGAGAGTCTAATCTGGTGGAATAAAATATGCATCTTGTCTCTTTCATTTGGTGCTATCAAACTCTTCCAGTCTGGGTCTGGATTCCATTGAGTAGCTCACATCCTCTTAGGGACCAACAAAAGAGAAAGAAGGACTCTGTTCCCTTCATTTGGGGGTCATATATTAGGCACACGGGGGAGCCCTGGTGGTGGAGTGGCCACATATTATGCTGCTCACCGCAGAGTCAACAGTTCGAAAACACTAGTAGTTCCGGGGGAGGACGATGAGGCTTTCTGCTCCCATGAAGAGCCACAGTCTCAGAAGCCCACGGCGCGGTGCTCCCGGGCTCTACAGCGTTGCTCTGAGGTGGCATCGACTCCATGGCAGGGAGTCTGATTTGGAGTTTTGGATTTTAGGGATATAGATTGGGGTGAAGTTGTAGGAGAGACTTTTGCTTAATACGTTGTTGATGGGAGGGGTTTTGCTTAATAATAAACATAACCCGTCCCCTCAAATTATCACACCCAAGAGTAGCAGGGGCCATTCGGGAAAAGCAGTGGTCTTCACCCTGAAGGTATCTGTTTCAATAGAGAGACTTGGGAATCAGTCATGGGCGTGGGATTTGGTAAAGTTTGTGTATTCATTACATACATTAGACTACACAGCCCTGCTAACACACCCCACGGAAGCTTGCAGGGAGGCACAGGTGGGACTGGCTCTGGGTGTTCGGCAGGAAGTATAGCCTTTACCTTTGTGATATCGGCTGTATTTATCCCTCCCTGCAAGGTTTCCATAGACTCTGTTGGCAATGCCCACTTATCCTATCTATGCATAATGAAGATAAAGGCTAGAGTTACTGTTAAACATCCAAAAAGGCGCAGGACAACTTTCCATAAGAAGTTAAAGATCCAGTTCAAAATGGCAACATTTGCAAAGCTGAGACCCCTAGATGATTCAAGTTCCTATCCGTTATCAGACTAGTACGTAAGTTTACCACCAGTTGCATCCGCACCTGTGGTGCAGCCCAATTCAAAGGTGCACAGTATAGGCTTAGTGCCCCTTTGTGGATCTTCCTCCAACCCCTTGCCATTAAAACCTAAAACACACTGCCCCGTTTAGTGGGTTCCCATTGAAAGTGGGCCTATCAGAGAGAGTGGGACTCCCACAGGGTCCTCAAGGCTCTGAGTCTTTAGAGCAGCAGACCACCACATCTTTTTCTGCCAGCGCAGCTGTTAGGTTCAACCTTGACTGTGGATGAGATGTGTTCTTTAACCACTGCCCTCCAGGGGCCCCTCCAACCCCCTACACAACCTTGAAACCTGCTCCTCCTTTTCATGGCCCGAATGCTAAGCGAAACTCCTCTGTATCCCACCTCTCAGGGTGTCCACACCACCCTTTCACTTCCTTTCATCTTGTACATGTTACCAAGTAAAATTGCGCCCAATGTTCTTATCCCTTCACCAGAATATGCACAACAGGAGGGCAGCGACTATTTCATTCATATCTTCCTCTCAAGTAGCACGGCATCTTGAATGAGGGACAATGATCCTTACGAAATGTTTGTTTGAATAAACGATTGATGGCTGAGCATGAAGTCAGAGTTTACTCGCTTGGTTCCTACGCAGAGCAGTTGTTTGAATTTCTTTCAACAGTCTCATCTGCTTACTACTGGCCTCAGAATGTCAGGGTGGCTCTGGCAGCTCCGGGCAAAGGACCTGGGGAGGGTGGCCCTCGGCAGAAAGGCTTCGCACGCTTTCACATGATTCCCCTTAAGGACACAGGTTGTTACTGCAAGACCCTAAGATAGGGAGCTGTGATTGGGAGAATTTAGCTCCAGCAGCCACTACAATGGCAGAGGACAGTAGCCCCCAGTCGGACGGAGGCCTTTCACTGGGGATGTTGGGGATGGAGGGAGGACCTGCAGAGATTGGCTACATCTGTGCATGGTTGTGTGATCATTTCATTCTGAGATGTTCTTAAGTCTCTGGTCAAATGAATAGAAATTTACCTAATCTCAGAGGGCGTTGTATGTCTGAAATTTCTTTCCTCCAAATTCCCCGTGGCTGCACAAAGGTGGGCTGTCCCTCACAGTTCCTCTAAGAATCTAGGGACCTTGTAGAACCACTGTAGGGCCGGCCACCCTTCTCAGTCCCCTACATTAGCAGCTAATCCCTCTGACATACAACAACAAAAGAGAGTGTTTGAGCAAATTTATGACAGTAGGACACAACTTCATCTCACTCTTGTTATGTCATCACTCCAAACCCCAACCCCAACCAACCGACTAAACAAACAGTGGAACTCACTGCTCTCAAGTCCTTTCTGACTCAGAAAGCCTGCCAAGGACAGGTGGAATTGCCCTGTGGACATTCTTGGCCAGTATGGCTTAAATTGGGCTTCAGAGACTGTATGTCTTTACAGTAGTAGAAAGCCTCATCTTTCTCCCACAGAGAGGTGGGTGTCTTTGAACTGCTGCTTTTGTGGTTTGAAGTGCAAGGGGTAACCAACTATGCCACCAGGGCTCCTCTGAAGTGAGATAAGGTCAAAGGAAGGGCAACATTTCAACAAAATGCCTATCAAAAAGCAAAGGACACACATATGCAGGAGTGAACGAATGCAGAAGTTCTTACATCATAAAACTATGACACCCAGGAATGTCCTGGAATTTCTGCAACCCCTCCCAACCCCCTGCCCCCCACACACACCACCTGAATGGAGGCCTTTGTTTCTCTTTTCTGTTCTATCTTACTTTGCTGTGGTTGCTTTCCTGGATAAAGAACTCTGGTGGCATAATGGTTAAGTGCCCAAATGGTAGGCAAAGGGTGAGCAGTTTGAACCTCCCCATTGCCCCATGACAGCATGAGGGGCCACCTGCTTCTGCAAGGACCCGAAACCCTGTGGGACAGTCTGCATTGTGAGAGAGAGAGAGAGAGAGAGAGAGAGAGACCTGAGGAACAGCAAAGGCCTGGAGGGCAGTGGTTTGCTTCCATTGGTTTTACCTGGATAGAATTTGCATTTTAAAGGACTCATTGTGTCCACTGCCATAGGACAGAGTAAAACTGACCCTGGGGGTTTCTGAGACTGTCAATCTTTATGGGAAGCCCCATCTTTCTCCCAAGAGCCTAGTTACACATCTTTATATTTTTTTCTTTTTTAAAGTCAGACATAGTTTAGAATTAGCTTCAATGCTATTACTTATAAAAGCCAAATCCACTGCCTTTGACCTGATTCAGACTCACAGCCAACTTATAAAGAGAGAGTGGAACTGTCACTTGTATCTCAGAGGCTTTCGATGGTCACAGAAGCAGCCAGCTCCGCTGAGTGGCAGGAGGGTTTGAACTGCCAACTTTGCTGTTGGCAGGC